AAATCATTTCTTGGTAATTAAGATAGCAAAAACTGACTCAAACCAAAATTTTGAAATCATACTCAGAAAATCTTGCAAAAATTTTGACAAAAATTTTTGACCCAAAATAACAACAAGACAAAAATTAATCTTACGCATGAATATGCTCACCACCCCCAACCCAAAATCAGACAGTGTCCTCAATGTCTAAAAAGATATGCAATACGAAGAAGACAGGAAAAGAGAACACCTGGATGATGAACAGTGGAATTAAGTCGAGCCTCCTGAACTGATTCTCCAAAATAAAAACAAATATAAAATCACACAAAATCAAACTAAAAATAAAAGCATACAAAACACACAAAATGACACAAAGAAACAAAAATATGATACAAAAGGGTTAGAAGCAAACTCCTTAAGGTTGGTAAATTGGAGCCTCGAGAATGATCTCTTCAGCTTGGCTCATACGCTCAATGTAATGCTTCAATCTCTAGCCATTGACTCTGAATACTCTCTCATTGCTCGGGTCCTCGACCTTGACAGCACCGTTGGGAAAAACTTGTTTCACCACAAATAGACCAGTCCACCGCGACCTTAACTTACCTGGGTGGAGATGCAAATGGGAGTCATAAAGATGCACGCGCTGATTTGGCTCAAAATTCTTTCTCAGGATCTACTTGTCATGAGCCGCTTTCATTTTTGCCTTGTAGATCCTGGAATTGTCGTATGCATCGTTCCTTAACTCCTCAATCTCAGACAATTGGAGCTTTCTTTGAATACCTGCAGCATTGAGATCAAAGTTAAGGGCCTTGACGGCCCAATAAGCTTTATGCTCGAGCTCGACAGGTAAATGATAGGCTTTCCCAAAGATAAGCCTATAAGGATACATCCCAAGAGGGGATTTGTAGGCAGTGCGGTATGCCCAGAGAGCGTCAAGAAGATGTAAGGACCAATCCTTGCGGTCGGGGTTTACCGTCTTTTCCAGAATTTGTTTGATCTTCCTATTCGCCAACTCAGCTTGGCCATTCGTTTGTGGATGATAGG